CAAGCGCCATTTACTGTGAAATGAAACCCAGAAGCTTATAGTTCTTGGTGCTGAGGGAAGAGTACCCAATATTAGGATAAAAGTGATGGTACAGATGATAAAGAGATGGAGGGGTAGGAGGGAGGGAAACAAGATCCTTGAGGACACTCTTGAGCTGAAAAATTGACTAATTCTGAACTTGCAGTATTATTGGACTTTGTTATAAAAGCTAATATTTTTTAAAGGTTTTTTTTTTTTTTTTTTTTTTTTTTTGGCCTAAGAATATGTGCCCTTGCTGGAGGAGAGACAGAGTGAGAGAGAAAGTGAGAAATTGCCCACCAGAGTAGATTGTTATTCACATGAATCTCCTCCTGGGATCTTGGACATTGACTCACAGGCATCCTGCATGAGTTTCAAGCCAAAGGGTCAAGGACTCGATGGTTGACCATGTGAGTCCAGCAACATAACCACTATGCCATCTGCTGGTCCCTAAAGCTAATACATTTTCTTACTGTTTAATCCCATTTTAATTTGCTCACTTCTAACTTGAAATGATGTACATCTTAAATTCCCATGATTTTTGTGACTTTCCACAGACCTCTGTAGGACCTCTTGTGATTATAACCTTTTGAGCCTCATTTTTCTTATCTATAAAATAAATGTTTTTCATCAAGATACTTGAGTTCTAGAACAAAGCCTGAGGGAGGAAATGACTAATAGATGCTGAGGGCTTACTATGTATCATGAAGTAGGCTGATCTTGGTTTTAGGAAGTTTAGAGAAAAATTCACAATGGTATCTATGTAAAATGGTAGAAGTAAGATCACTTTTGTACAGTATTTTTTTAGATCATTCAATACTTGTTGGATACTTACTATTCCAGACACATGATCTAAATGAGGTAGATGCAGGGGTGGGAATGAAAGAGATTATGAGAAGCCATATTTGGAAAAGTGGCATTTAGGCCAAAACATGAAAGATGAGTAGGAGCTAGGTGAAGAACGGGGAATGTTTCAGGCAAGGAAACCTATATATAAAATTCAGGAGCTGGGAAAGAATTTGGCATGTTCAAGAAAAGTAAAGAAGTGTGTTATCAGAGTGTAGTGAGCAAGATAACATGATGAAAGACGAAATTGGAAAGAAAAATGGGACAGATGATACAGAGCCTTGTTGACCATGTTAGAGATTTTTAAATAATCTAAGTGTGAAATGAAGTTGTTAGAAACTTTTGAGAGTAGTCTCGTGCTGTGGTGCAGGCACACATACGTGCCTCCCCCACACATGCAGTTTTTAAGTGAGACTTAGAAGGGTTGGGTGAAGAACAGTTAGTTGGGCTAGTTAACCGGCTGGTGGCCGAGGTGAGAGAGGAGATGGAGCAAAGCGAATGGAAGCGAGCAGTCCTTCAGGTGGAGAACCCTTGGTGTGATAGATGGGGGATGTGGCGCATCACAGAGATGACCTCTCAGTTTCTGTGTGTCTGGACAAGGTGGCAGCAGGCAAAAAATAAAAAATTGTAGAAAAATTAATGTTTAGCTTGAGTATGTTAAAATTTGAGGTATGTCTTTTGCGTTGAAATAGGGATGTTAAGTAGCAGCCTTATATCTGGTACTCACACGAGGCCTGTCTAGGCTGGAGTGAAAGTTTGAGAGACTCTGGCAGGTTCATTCATCAGAAGGTATGGGAATACATTGTACCTATTAAGGGGAGAGAGGAATAGGGGAAGAAAGCACCTTAGGTCACTTTTCCGGAAGCCTTCCCGCATTCCTTAGAGGGGAAATCTTCAGGAGTGTGATGGAGAAGGGACAAAGAGAAAATCATGGTCTACATAAGGTGCTAAGTAGATGGTAAATTTTGGAATTACAGAAGCTAAGTGGAAGAGGAGAATGCTGAGAATGGGGAAAGCCAAAGAAGATGTATAAAAGGAGATTTTCCACGAAGCTAGACCTTAAAGGAGTTGGAAGGATTTAAGTATTTGGCATTAATCTTCTGGAACCAGAGGGAAGGGGATGAGGATGAGAATTTAAGTTAGAAGGGTTAGGGTCACCAGGGGGTAAAATAATTTCACTAGGAGGTAAAATAACTTATTTCCAGAGATGTCCAAATGCACAACCTGCCACATGTGCATGTGCTTACGTTCTGCGTAGTTCTTGAGAGTCATCTAGGTAGGATGTTTAGTTCTTACAACAGTCATTGTTAGTTCTATGATAATACCAGCTATATAGGTGAAGCTCAGTAAGAATTTGTTAAATGAATAAATATCCCTAGGAAATGAAGTTTAGATTTTATTTGTGGGGATATCCATGTTAGAGAAAATGGAGAAAGAAAGGTATGAAAAATTGGGAGCCACTGGTCCCGATGCCCTTGATCCCTCTGTCTTCAAAGCACCAGTCCTTTTGTCTACCTGTTCTGTTAGATCGTGAGTTGTTTGAAGGTATTATCTGTCACATAGAAACCAGTATTTTCAGGATCTTACCCAGTGACGTTGTATAGTAAGTGCTCAATAAATATTGGTTGGCTGAATGCAAGAAGGTGGATGTTGAAAAAAAAAAAAACAACAGTTCAGAAGGGGGAGGAGGCAGAGATGTAAAGCAAAACTGCGGGGTGTGAAATAATCACAAGTGTGGGACTCCATACTAAAGTTGCCTGAGTTAGTATTCTCCTCTCTAAGGTGGGGATGGGTAACTTTCTCAAAGTCAGACAACTTGGAACTGATGATTTCTGGATTTACTCTTAAACCTTTCTAATTTCCAAGCTCAGATCTTCTACTGTCATGCTCCTTCCTCCCCATATTACTTCTCATAGTTATCAACCTACCTCTCAGACCACAGATGCCTCGTTTCTTCCCACTTAGGCCCGATGAGATATTTTCTGTCATGAACACCTTCTTTATATGATTTGTTTTCTGAGTTCTATTTATTCCTCTTCTCCTAGCTCTCCACTGTGGTTTGAATCCACGGGGTATTGATCACCCTGCCCGTGCTGAAGGTATTAAACTGCAAATTGAAGGTGAAGGTGTGGAATCTCAATCTATTAAAAACAAAAATTTCCAGAAGGTGCCTGACCAAAAAGGAACCCCCAAGCGGCTGCAGGCAGAAGCTGAGACAGCTAAGGTAGGTAATCTAGTTAATTAAGAAACTCCTAAAGCTGTAGCTTTGATATGTTGTGGCTTAGCCACAGACCTGATGGTGCTTTCACTAATTACAATCGTATCTGCGGTAAAATGAGCACCACATCATGATAAATAATAATAAATGAAAATATTGACTGTACTCCCTTTGGCATGAAATCGAAACACATTTGTGGCCAGTCTCATAACATGAGGTTCTAAGCTATGGGTTTCGGAGAAAAATGCCTTGTTATTAAAATGGAAAGATTTCCCTGCCCATCTCTGGTTTAGCACTATATGTTGCTGGCCAATTCGTGTAGTTCTTTGAACCTCAGTTCCCCCATCTATAGAATGGGTGTCGCATTGTAAAAATTACCTCTCACATTAGGCTGAGCAGATCAAACCATGCAGAGCATATGGAATTATTTTGTAAAAGTCTCGGTACTCCATGAGTAGGAGACGGTTTTGCTGATAAATAATAATTAGGAGAATGCATTTCCTGAAATATTGCCTAAATATATTTCAGTACCTATATATTTCATGTATATATGAGAACTCATGATGCATGTGCTTATTGGGTCCCTGTAGCAATCCTATGACATCGACAGTAGTAAGGAGGACCCTACTTGATGGAAGATAAAATTGTTCGATTTTGTTGTGGGATATTCTTCTTTGTTGTTGTTTTATCTTTAAATGTAGTTATTGTAAAGCCGGCAAAATACAGTGGTAAAGGCACACCAAAATGTGGGTTTGGGGGCTTACATAATGAAGTAAAAACAGCCTTTTATAAAGGTACAATCGTCTGCAATCAGTGAAATTATGTGTGTTAGGGCACAATGTTTAAGGTGTTCATGGTAGCCTTTTCCTTGTAAATTGTGGGAATTAAATCTTCATACGGCATTAGTTTTCTCCCAGCATGTAGTCCCTGCAAGATAATTTTTTCAATGTTGGTTGAATGAATGTGTACAGTGCCTTAGAAAATAAATGTTGTGATACCCCAGAAAAATCTTAAATAGAAAAGTCATTTTGTTGTTGTTTTTTAGAGAAAGAAAATACTTCTCTCCCAGGACCGGCAGATGGCATAATGGTTATGTTGCTGGATGCCCATATAGTTGACCACAGTTCAAGTCCCAGACCCGGTAGCTTAAAATGCATGTTGAGCGTGTGTGCATACGTGCCCAAAATCCTGAGAGGAGAATATAGAAGGGGTTGTGGTGTGACCATCCCCGTAGGGGATGATTCCTCTGTCTCCCTGGTGAGCACACACGCCCTATAGCAAAAATCTCTTTCTAAAACAAACCTTCCAAATGTTTTTTTCAAAATTGAATGATTTTTTTACCTTATCATAATTTCGAATAATTACCAGTATAGTTTCCCTTTTTTAGTGTGGATAATTAAAGCTGATGACATAAAGTGTGTGGTGTGTGTGTGTGAGAGAGGAGAATAATTAGTAAGGAAGATACTGCAGGTGTTTTGCACTAAACATTTCAGTTGAGAGCAATTGCACTTGATCAGAAATAGGCTGACCATTGAAGTTTGGTTTGTGAGAACGGTTGAAAATTGGTGAACTTGTTAGGACATCTAAACTTCATCAATCCTGGTGCACACAGGCTCAAGGTCCACGAGGAAATGTCTGAAGGGCCATCTCTAACTAGAAAAATAGAGTTCTAGTAAGGTCTTTGGAAAGAGATGCTTTAATTATTAAAAATTAATATCAGCTCTATGGATTGGTGATTAAGGGAGCTGGATCCCACATGGCCGACCCCACAGTTTGAGTCCAGGACTTGGCAGCCTAAGAAACCAAGTGTGTGTGTGCATGCATGCCCCAAATCCTGATGGGATGGAGAATTGGGAGGAACTCCACTACCCACCTTGGGGGGTACTTTCTCTCTCTCCTCACTGTGTCTCACTGTGTCTCTGAGAATGCACATACTCTCTTGCAAAAAAAAAACAAAAAAAAAAACAAAAAAAACTTGATATTTGTACAGCTTTATTTCAACTTGAGACATTTCCGGATGACATCTTTTATTTGCAAATATTGGGTCATCAGAAAAGTCATGACACATTTTTTTTGCATAGAAAAATATAGACAAATATGTCATGACTTTTCTGATGACCCTATAGACTGGTAATACAAACAATTTTATTTAATTCTGACTTTATATGATCACTTTTGAATTGTCTAATGTGTGATATTGCAGTAATCTTAAATTTTTTTGTGCGTCGGTGACACTTTATGTTGGCATCTAGGTCCCTTTGTAGTTGCTTTACTGAGAACATACTTCACTTGGGCTCATTGTAGACTTCTGCATTCCTTCTCAGGAATAGACTACGTATTAGGAACTTGATTCATCTGAGTTTATTCAGATTATCTACAATGAAACTTTCCAAACAAAAAAGAGTTGAAAGGAGGTCCTGGGGGTTTTCACATTGACATCATATCTAGGGGTGAACAGACCAGAAACTTTACTAAAGTTTAAACAAGATAATGGTCCATTTCTTCACGGAGAACTAGTTGATTATGGTGGTTGCTAGGGGAAACAGAGTTAAAAGTATGTTAGTGAAATTGCCACAGGTGCCCATAGTATCACAGACCCTGAAGTTTCCATGCCCAGACAATGTGAACTTGTTTTGTTCAACACGTTTACATTTTCTCCCGTGTTGCATTTAGAGGGCTAGTGGAATTATGAGACATATTTGTCTTAGGTAGATAATTAAATCTCTGGTATCTAAACTTATCATAAAAACAAAACCAAAACCTCTGGCTAAAAACGCATGCATTTAAAGCAATCCGTAATGGTAACTGGTACAGCTTTTCTAGAGGACACGCTGAAGGTAATTATCAACATTTTAAAAGTGTAAATTTGGGGCCAAGAATTCCCTCTCTAGAAACTTGTCCTAAGGAAATAATCATCCAGATGTGCAGAAATGGTTGCAAGAGAATGGTGACTCTAGCACAGTATAATATGAAAACACAAACTGGCCTGAATACCGATTTGTGGGACACTGGTAAAGAAACACTGCATTAATACAGTGGAATAGAATCCCCCCTGTGTAAGGATATGAGACACTTATATTTACTTATGTAGGAAAACTTATGAAATAATATTTTAGAGTGGGGAGGAGCAGGTTACTACACAGTATATAATGAAACTGATTTTCTGCATTTCTATTTTGAATTTTTTAAAAAGATACATATCCTTTTACTTGTTTATTTTAAAGCTCTTTTTAGACTGCCCTTTTAACTTTAGTAGTTCCGCTCTGACTGTTCCTGTTTGTAGGGTTAGTATTTGGCCTTTTAGGGTGCTGAGTTTCCCTCACATGGCTCCTAATTCTTGCCAGTAAGTTTATTTTCCAAAGGGATGAGTACTCAGCCATTTAAGCTACGTATGTGTTAGATTACGAAGGCTGTCTGATGAATTACTTTTCCATTTGTCTCTACCTAAACTCCAGGATGTAATAGCTCTGACCAGGTGTCATATTAACATTGCAATTCAAAATTCTGTCTGCTTCTAATCATGCAAATCAAGTTCCCCCATACGCACTTCCTATTTGCAGACTTCACATAGGGCACCTGGTTCCAGCTGTCTGTTGTGCTTTTGGGCTCTGCCACTTTGATTCCAGCAATGTTTGTTTGTTTATATTTTATTATCATCTTGTTTATATTACATTGAATCACATATATCTTTACAGTGTATTACGTTTTTTTCCTTAAGGAATACCTTGCATATCAGTTAAGACATAGACATTACTGTCCACATCATCATCAAATAGCTATACATCATTTTTTCCCAGATTATTATTATTCTCATTATTTTTTCAGACATTCAACCACTACATATCATTTGACCTATGAAAAGAATTTACCCCACATGAAATACTTCTCAGACCAGTCCAGTTGAGAATACTATACATGTTATCAACAGGTAATAAACCATTTCTGGGTCCCGTTAATGTTGCAGCAATATTGATTTTTTTTTTTTAGAGATTTTCATTGTAGGGCGCGTGTGCTCACCAGACAGACAGAGAGAGACATAGAGACAGAAAGCGAGAAGTCACCCCCCAGGGGGGATGGTCACGCCGCAATCCCTTCTCCTCCATTCTCGGGATCTTGGACATGCACGCACACGCGCCCGGTGTGAGTTTTAAGCCACCGGGTCCGGAACACGAACCGCGGTCGACTATGTGGGAGTCCAGCGACATAGCCATTACGCTAACTGCTGGTTCCCCAGCAATGTTGATTTTGAAACCGCTCGCTCTCTTGATCACTTGTTCCCAATCCTCAACAGGCACACGAGTTTTGTGCCTCTCCACCTCTGTGGTTTTCTGACTTCTCAGGATTTCTTTTCCTTGATTTTGATTTGAACTTATATAAATTTTAAAATATTTAAATATATTTTCTAATGTCTTTAGGCAATGTGAGAGCTTGAGGGAAGATTCTAGTATCTGCTTAAAATACTGTATCGACCCTGAGGTTTGTATTGCTCTCATAATTACATACATACACACACACACACACACACAATACTCCATACCAACTCTGGCAAAAGAATTATTCTTGCTTTTCCATCTTAGGACATGATTTGGGAATTTTCATCCCCAGTTTCTCAAAAGGCTGAGAACCCTAGTCCCAAAAGGTGGTTTTCTCTGCCACAAGTTGTCTCCAGCTCATATAGACAAAGAGAAACCAGTGGAGTACTAGATCATTTTTAAGCCTTATTAGTAAGAAGCATTCTGTCTCCTTGACAAAAAAAAAAAAAAAAAAAAACATTATTGAAAGATGGATCTGAAGGGGCCAGCAGATGATGTGAAGTTTAGGTACTAGATCCCACATAGCCAGCTCTGTGGTTTGATTTACAAACCTGGCAGCTTGAAAATCACACCAAGGTTGTATGCGTGTGTGCCCACAATCCTGAGAGGAGAATGGAGGAGAAAGGACTGTGGTATGACCATCCCCCCCCGGGGTGGGGGGAGGTGATTTCTCACTCTCTCCTCACCCCCAGG